ATAATATATTCATATGATGCTCTGCCATTGTGACTGTCTTGATGTATGACACACAAAAGGGAAGTACAGAAGCCATGAGAGTAGCAGTAGCAATCCCATTCATCCACACATACTCCCCAGAATGAGGACGAAGCAAATACAGAAATTCTTCTGGAGGCATTGGGTTAATTACCTTGGTATAGTGAATCCAGTTTTTTTTAACTATTGACTTCTAATCCATGGTAAAAAACTTTTCCCCCCAATACTGTCTGACAGTCACTGATCTGGAGCATCAATACTTATGTTAAGGAATACTTGGCCAGCTGCCCCATACCATCTGTCTACCTTAGCTGGGTTATGGTGGTCAGGATTGATATATCATTTTGGATTACTGATTTCTTACCCCTAAATATCCCTCTTAACCCAATGGTGACAGGTGAAGAAAACAAAAAAAGAAAAAAAACTCTACACTCTGGCAAACAATGGTGGCGCGCCGACTTTGAGCGCAGGAGTTCGCTATATGAGCCCGAATCACTGACCCGCCGCGCTTTGGCACGCCGCCGCAGCGTACAGCCACACGCCAGCTTACGAGCGGTTTGTTTTCATGCCTATCGGTGTCACTCATCGGGAAGGGGTAAAAAGACTAATAAACACTATAAGTGATAGCAGTGATGTGAAATGAAAACACTTGACATTAACTCTGGTACAGAGTACAGAAGGAATAACACTAAACATACGGTCTATAACATCAATAACATATCTATATAATCACCCAAAAAATTGTGCCTTGATACTAATACTCTATTATAAAAAAAGTCTTAGCTAGGTAGATTTGTATGTAATTAGTGCTAGAATCAAGTACCGTATATCCATCACTTTGTCTTTCTCGCCATAATTTTCACATTAGTAAAGTCTGCTAATTCTACATATTTCATTTTAAGCTTACTGGACGAGTAAGGTTCAACTTGTATTACAGAAAATATGCCATTAGCATATTTTCTAAAACATACACTGTATATCAACCAGAAAGAAAATTAAAAGACATCAATATTACAATTAAGTAAAGAAACTCACCAGTTTCAGGGCAAACAGCCCAACATGTGAGACTGTCTGTGGTTACAGTCATAATCAATATTTTCTCTTTACCATTGTCTGTAATAATTGTTGCATCACATAATGGTACATGTGACTTGTGATCTGAAAAAAAGAGAGAATAAGTTCAATATAAAAAAGAGAAATAAAAAAGAAAAGAGATAGCTCTCTTGCTACAATATATAGTATATTTAGCAAGATCAAAATAATTAGTTACATCTTCCAGCCCAATCTTTTGTTGCAGAAAGAACAAATGAGAAAAAATAACTTCAGAGTGCAAGATGTGTTTGACTTGTTTTAATTATAACTTCTACAGAAATACATATATCTCCGATAAAGATATACTTGAAAAGTGTCAGATACATCTATTGTGCTGCAAAGTTACTCATTTACAGTCATTCCTGTATCTACATTTGTCACACTAAACTGTGTCCACCTTTACTTATAATGAAATCAATATTATCAATATAACAATTTAATTTACAAGCAGTATCCAATTCTAATCTCTACTTAAAGCACCCTCAACAAATGGCTTCCTCAAACACAGAATGATAAGATACATATTTTTAAAAAGGCAATATTTATAATGACATCTAAGGCCATGCAGATATTTATATCAACAATGCTAAAAAATTATTTGAGGCCAAGCTGCTCATGTCAAGTGTCCTAGCTATCAATATTGATGAACTATCAATTTATTATAAATATATGAGATATATATTATATCAAACACCTACATATATCGATATCTAGATCCATATTCATCCATCTATATATATATGCATACATATATATATATACATACATACATACATATATATAATTATATATAATATGAGAAAAATTATCTCTATTAGAGATCTAGTTACAAAAAAGGAACTGTACTATAAATCATTGTATACAAATACCTAGAATAGCCTTAGGATGTAAAACTAAAAGCCCTTCTTCTTCTTTTTCCGAGACAGTCCAGACAACTGCTTTGGAGTCGGCACCAGTAGTAACCAATGCTGGACCAGAGGAAGGTGCTGGTTGTACCCATTGTGAACAAGTGACCTTGTTGCTGTGAACTTTTGTGCCTGCACCAATGATTCTGCCATCCTGTGAAACATAAAATACAAGATGAGGCGAACTATTTATGAAATGTATCACTTACATCTTTATCATATATTCTCTACTGACTGCATAAATCAAATTCCTGTCTGATACGAAGCCGAGAGGAAATTTTTTCAACACAATATTCTACTCATAGACGAAACTGCTTCCCACTTTCAGTATTTTCTTCTAATGAAAAAGTAAAACATTCTCTTTCACACCTAATATACCACAGTGACCATTTGAAAAGTAAACATGTTTCGGCTTCGTGTTGATATACTTTTTGAAGGAGTATATCAACTTCAGATCTCTTCTATTACATCAATATCCATTTTTTATTGAAAGAGTATATAAAAATACATAATCGCCATTTTAGCAATTCATCAGCAAATAAGGAATGTACCCAAACTTTATTTTACTGAAATATACATGGTGGAGTGTTACTTGCCTTGCCATAACACAAAGGGGACAATATGTAGTATAAGGTAGTGGCAGAGTTGGGTAATAAAACCTACATGGAATAATAGAACAATACAAACCAAGACAAAGTTCTTCTATAGTAAAATGTGTGTAAATGCTTCCCAAGGGTGCTAGGTATATATATCACCCCGGAGGTCCAGGCTAGGGAATATATACCACGGTGTTAGGTTAGGTTGGATGTTGGGTTAGGTCGCACATTTGCACAAGGAACAATGCCTAGAATCGTTGAAAGCAGTGGGTTTTTTTTATGCAGAAAAATATAAAAATTGTTTCGAAAGAAACCCATCTTCTTCCCTTTTCTTTTACATATAGTACCCTTGGGAAGCATTTGTACACATATTGCCATAGAAGAACTTTGTCTTGGTTTCTATTGTTCTACCATTTCATGTAGGTTTTATTAGCCAACTCTGCCACTACCTTATAGTACATATTGACCCACAAAGGCTCCGACACACCACGACTGTCGTGTCAGACTATAATTCATCTGACACAAATCACAGGAAATTACTAGTAAACTTGGATAGAAGAGAGACAATGCTATTATATAAATAATGCTAATATTTTTTTTTTTTTGAGAGTATCCTATAAACATTTCCCGCATTTTGACAGTACACCAGAATTACGTCATTCTCTGGTCATTTAAATACTGATCAAATTAAATACTGACAATTCCTTTTTACCTGTGTTAATGCACCGTGAAACACTAAAGAATACTTATATCTTAAAAAAAAAAAATACCGGTAAATCAACCAAGAAGGCCCTTACATCATCCCCGCATTAATCACCTCTCATTCCATAATTAACACATAACATTTACCTTCGGGTCATATAACAAAACTCCTGTACTGGCTGCATACAAAATCCTCCCATCTGGACCCCACTGGAGAGCCTCAGGAGTTTGATTCACTCCCGATGACAGGTACTTCACGTGGACCTCCATTCCCCGAGCGTCGCCAGTGTTGATTTTGGTGAGAACGTCTTCGTTGCTGCGGGTCGTTCTTTTAGCTTGTGTGGGTCGGTCATAGTGTGTGTGGATTCTCATATTGGATGGATTCTAATGTGGATTCTAATGTTGGATGGATTCTAATGTGGATTCTAATATTGCGAGTAATGGATTCTAATATGGATTCTAATATTGGATGGATTCTAATATGGATTCTAATATTGCGAGTCTAATATTACTAATATTGCGATAATTCTAATATTGCGATTCTAATATTGCTAACACGGATTCTAATTATGCGAGTAATGGGTTCTAATATTGCGATTCTAATATTGCGAGTAATGGATTCTAATATTGAGAGTTTAATATTACTAATATTGCGATAATTCTAATATTGCGATTCTAATATTGCTAACATGGATTCTAATATTGCTAACATGGATTCTAATATTGCGATTCTAATATTGCTAACATGGATTCTAATATTGCGATTCTAATATTGCTAACATGGATTCTAATATTGCTAACATGGATTCTAATATTGCTAACATGGATTCTAATATTGCTAACATGGATTCTAATATTGCTAACATGGATTCTAATATTGCGATTCTAATATTGCTAACATGGATTCTAATATTGCGATTCTAATATTGCTAACATGGATTCTAATATTGCGATTCTAATATTGCGATTCTAATATTGCTAACATGGATTCTAATATTGCGAGTAATGGATTCTAATATTGCGAGTAATGGATTCTAATATTGAGAGTTTAATATTACTAATATTGCGATAATTCTAATATTGCGATTCTAATATTGCGAGTAATGGATTCTAATATTGAGAGTTTAATATTACTAATATTGCGATAATTCTAATATTGCGATTCTAATATTGCTAACATGGATTCTAATATTGCGAGTAATGTACCACAGAGATGTGTGTTACATCTGTTTATTTTTACAGTGAATGATATCTAAGGTGATTTATTTCAGGTTTTATTCCGTGAACTGCAATCAATTATTTGAGATAAATCCTTAAAGAACAATGTCACGTTTATTGTGCATTTTATAAATGTACAGGTATAAATACCTGCACACATACGCATAGATACAGACACACACACACACACACACACACACACACACACACACACACACACACACACACACACACACACACACACACACACACACACACACACACACACACACACACACACACACACACACACACACACACACACACACGCACGCACACGCACACACACTATCTACATTTGCCAGCGCGGAAAAGATCTGAACTGACGCACACGCACATACAATACGCACACACACACACACACACACAATATCAATAAGCGATAATCATGATAAGATTAACGTTGAGCTAACCTTAGAATATTGAGCATTTCAATAGCAATCTGCAGTCTGCCGTCGGCGATTGTGTTAATCCAATTATTTCCTTGGTATGTCAATTAGATTATTTTAAATGCTCTTTGGTGCAGGAATCATTTTAAGTGCATATTGAAAGTATTGTCATAGTGACGAGCATTAGGATGTTGAAGAATGTGTTATGTGTTTGTGAGACGAATCTGTGCTGAATAAATTATCAAGTCAGAATGGTTACAGTCTTTCAGTTCAGGAATAAAATCATATAAGTTGAATCTTTGGGTCATTCTTAATGTTTATACTGAAACACACAAGCAAAAGTGTGGGAGATAAAATGATATATACACACATACATACACACACACACGCACATATCACATATATACATACATACATACATACATATATATATATATATATATATATATATATATATATATATATATATATATATATATATATATAGAGAGAGAGAGAGAGAGAGAGAGAGAGAGAGAGAGATACATACATACATGCATACATACATACATTCATACATACATACATATGTATATATACACATATATATATTTACACACACACACAAATATAAATATATATATATATATATATATATATATATATATATATATATATATATATATATATATATATATATATATATATACACACACACATTCACTTATATACACACGTACATGTAAAGACGCGCATGTATGTATGTATGTATATATATATATATATATATATATATATATATATATATATATATATATATATATATACATATATATATATATATATATATATATATATATATATATATATATATATATGTATATATATATATATATATTTTTTTTTTTTTATACAGCCATTCATTCCACTGCAGGACATAGGCCTCTCTCAATTTATTATTGAGAGGTTATATGGCAGTGCCACCCTTGCCTGATTGTATATATACATATATATATGTATATATATATATATATACATATATGTATGTATATATATGTATATATATATATATATATATATATATATATATATATATATATATATATATATATATATATACACACATACATATGGATATATATGTATATATATATATATATATATATATATATATATATATATATATATATATATATATATATATATATATACACACACACACACACATACGACTACATTTATGTATGTGTATATATATATGTATATATATACATACATATATATACATATATATATATATATATATATATATATATATATATATATATATATATATATATTTATTTATTTTTCATTTTTTTCAACAGCCATTCATTCCACTGCAGGACACAGGCCTCTCTCAATTCAGTATTGAGAGGTTATATGGCAGTGTCACCCTTGCCCTTCCTAATCAACCGCGGTTAGGCGCGTTAACACTTGTGCCACGGCGGTGACTTCCCCTACGACGCCTGCGTGTGACTTCTCAAGGCGATATGTCGTTTTCTCGGGCTCAAAAAACCAGTCAGAGCGCAGGCACGTTTTCGACTGCCGCGACGAGGAATTGAACCACACACACTTATATACACACGTATATATTCATAAATTATTTGTATATATTCATATGTGTGTGTATATATACATACATATATATGTATATATATATATATATATATATATATATATATATATATATATATATATATATATATATATATGGGCCCGAGTTCAATTCCCTGTCGCGGCAGTCGTAAAAATGCCTGCACTCTGACTGATGGCTCGAGTCCGAGAAAACGACATATCGCCTTGAGAAGCTAAATGCAGGTGTCGTAGGGGAAGTCACCGCCGTGGCAAAAGTGTTAGCACGCCGAACTGCGGTTGATTAGGAAGGGCATCCAATCAGGCAAGGGTGACACTGCCATATAACCTCTCAATAGTGTCCTGCAGTGGAATAAATGGCTGTTGAAAAAAAAAAAAAAAATATATATATATGTATATACATACATACATACACACATATACACACGCATATATATTTATTCTCTCTCTATATATATATATATTCTGTATATATATATATATATATATATATATATATATATATATATATATATATATATATAAACACACACACATATTATATATATGTATACTTATATATATATATATATATATATATATATATATATATATATATATATATATGTGTGTGTGTGTGTGTGTGTGTGTGTGTGTGTGTGTGTGTGTGTGTATGTGTGTGTGTGTGTGTGTGTGTATACCTATATACACATTTAAATATACTGTACATTTTGTTTATATAAAAGGAAACAAATGGAGATCTATCGAAGGGAATACAGCAGTAATAACATTGTTGTATGCACTAAGAACCACACTTACCCACAGTAT